AAAAACTACATGTAGGAATTGGACCTGATAATTCGCCAAATGATCTAAAACTTTATCTTTTTGGTATATTTATAATTTGATGCAAAAAAAGTGACATCTAAATAACATGATTGACTTTTGTTAATAATTATTCCCAGAGCAATTGCACTCTCATTTATCAACTTTCAAACATGAAAAAGTGGTGTGTTGCTAGGTTATCATCAGTAATCGCACAAAATGCATAAGTAAAAAAGTCTAATGTCAAGATATAAGGTAATCCCATCCCTACAAAGAAAAATAAATTAAAAACTTTTGTTTTAATAGACATAAATATACATAACGTTTAAATAATATTACAAATAAGGATTTAGGCTCATCAAATAATTATCGGAAATGAGCAAGACGATCTTTGAGAATTTGCTTTCTTTATTTAAAGAAATTACACGTTGTGAACAAAATTTTTATGGATTTGGTTGTAGTTGCAGTTGTTCTGTTCGTTGTTGAGTGACCTATTTGTTGATGATCTTGTCCTTTTTCTTTTTGCTCTTTAGTGTTGGTCGCCAAAACTATTTGAAGAGCAAAAAAATCAAAATCAAAATCATATATCAAAAGTCAAAATTTCGACTTACGGTGAAGCGTTTTGACCAAATTAAATAAATTTTCAATGGTGTTAGCTGAATTTTTAAAAAATTTTTATCTACAAAAATATTCAAATATATAAATATATATATGTGTGTGATAAAAAAATTCATATCTATGTGTAATGAATGGTATATTAATATAATAATAAAAAAATTAATCAAAAAAAAAATTCTAATGAACAAACGAATATATTTTTTAATTGATGAATTAATCAATTAATTAAGCAATTCGTTAAACATATCTTCAAAGGTTTGATTTGTTCTTTATATTTCATTTCCATTTCCTGCAATTGATTATCCTCATCCATTATTTCTGGTGTCGTTGTATTGGTGTTGGTTTCTGTTAATATGTTATTATTAACATCTCGAGTAATATTTTGGTTAATTTTTTGATTAACATGTGTTAATGTATTACTAGTAGACTATTACTAATATCTTGATTAAGATTACTGTTACTTCCATCTACCAATTTTTTATCATCATCTTGATTAATTTCTGTTAATATATGATTATCTACATTTACTAATTTTTTATTATTATTATTTCTATGATTACCAATGTCGTGATCATTGAATTTACATCATTCCTCTTCTAAATTGAGCTCCTGCGAAACATCAATCATAGAATCTCAAATCTCTTCTGTCATGATCGTTTTTAATCTGAAAGTTAATTCTTCAAATTCCTCCTCTTCCTCATACAAAAAAACATCAAACTGCTCAGAATGTAAACAACCAACTATAGAAAATAATTTGATGATTGGTGGTGAATGGTGTAATTCTTGTAATGCAAAAAGATTTAGAAACGAATTTTCCAATTGGACAAGTGGCAATTCAACAATTGATAGTCTTATCAAAGAATCACAAATGAACGCCAGAGATCATAATCAAGTGCTGGAATGGATTCCTTATGAAAAAGTTTCTAATATCGAATACCTTTCAAAAGGTGGTTTCAGTAATGTTTATTTTGGTAATTGGAAAGATGGTAAACTATTACAATGGGATTGTAAGAAAAAACAATGGATTAGAAGTTCTGACATGGTTGTTACTCTAAAATCTTTAAAATCTTTTGTAAACATCGAAGATGACTTTTTTTCAGAGGTAAATAATTTATTCATTGAATGATGTAAAAAAAATTTTTTTTTAATATTTAAATTTTAATCCTCTATTATTATTATTATTATTATTATTACTATTAGCTTCGTTCATATCTTCAAGGAGGATGTGAAACACGTGGTTTAATTCAATGTTATGGATTTACAAAAGATCCAACAACTTCAGAATATATGCTGGTGATGGAACATGCAAGTTATGGAAATTTACGTAATTTTATAGTGGATTATCAAAAAAAGTTGAGATGGGAAACAAAACTAAGAATGTTATTGATGATTTCGATGGCTTTAGAAGATATTCACCAATCAGGTCACACTCATCGTAATTTTCACAGCGGAAACATTTTAATAACCGATGATGCAATAAAAATCGCTGATTTTGGTTTACACGGTCCATTCGATTTGGAACAACACAACAAGAAAAAACTTTACGGTGTTTTACCTTACGTTGCTCCTGAAATACTACGTGGTGACGCTTTTGCTCCTGCCGCTGACGTTTACAGTTTGGCAATGATAATGTGCGAGGTTTCATCTGGACTACCACCATTTCATGATAAACCACACGATGGAAAATTAGCTAAAGATATTTGTGCTGGTATCAGACCAACTTTAACTAGAAACGCCCCAAAGTCCTTTATAGTGTTGATGGAAAGATGTTGGGATGCTGATCCGTTAAATAGACCAACTATCCAAGAAATAACCGGAATGCTATTCCGTTGGCATTTCAATCTTGAACAAAAACGTTCTTTAGAAGTTTGCACGACGTTCCGTGCCTCTGATTTTATAAATAAAAACAACAATAATGGCACAGAAAAGAATGAGGGGGGAAAGGATAAGGGAGAAGTTTTATTTCATCGTAGAGCTTACTACATTTCTAAACCACTTGATTTTAAAAATCTTCCTGAACCAACAAACTATTATAATAGAACTTTTATTAATGGTGTTAATAATAATAATAATCTTGATAATTATAGTAAGTTATTATTATTATTATTATTATTATTATTATTATTATTATTATTATTATTAATCTATATTTTATCATTATTATTAATTCTTTTTATTATTGATCATCATCTAATTACCATTTTTTCTTTTTTTTATTGTAGATTTACGTCCTAATCTAAAAACAGGTTCAGATACATCGTTACATCGACAAAAATCAGCTGAAACGTTTAAATCCAATGGTAATCATAATAATATTTTTACTTTATATAATTAATTTTTTTTTGAAACACTCCTTAATGTTTATTTCTTTGTTACTTGTTTTTAGAATCTTTTATACATCATAACGTGAATCTTGAACAATTACGAACACCTTCGATGATCGAATCTGGTCGTACAGCGATCTATACAGATCTACTAAAAAGGAAACAAAAAGCTGCAGATCGATTCTTTTTTTATATTGAGCCTGATAACTCAGCCGCTACTATAATAGAATGTGAATTATCGCCAAAAAAATTTGACGACGATAAACAAGATATTATTAATGAAAAACATTACGCTGATTATGATGACTATAATGACAATTATGAAGATTATGAAGATCCATTGATGGATGGTAAGTTGAAATTTTTACTTTTTTTTTTTATTTTTTTTCCCGGATTTTTGAAAATTAAAAATTTTT